ACATACATACATACATACATACATACATACATACATACATACATACATACATACATACATACATACATATACTCTCACCCACACAAACAAACAAACGCAGTTTCTTTCAAGGGCGACTCTTATCGTCGATGAAATATCAAATGTGTCAAATGATGCAGAATTTATTTAGCTTGAAATTGGTATTCAGCATGCATGCGGTAGTGCAAGGCTTCTAGGATTTTATGCAATGATTGGGTGAATACATTTTCAAATTTAATTTAGACGCCACTATATATACATCCTCAAAAATTTACTTCTTTGTCCACCTTTTCTGTTCTTTTCTGTCATTTGGTTTCATCTTCACTTTCTCCCTACCCTCATCCCTAGCCTCCTCTGTGCTCCATTTTCCCTTATTTATCTTTCTACTTTCTGCTTATCTTTCTGTTGCTAATCCTGGTTCCTTCTGAATGCTGTCTTTCAGACATACCCCTGATCTTAGGGTGCATACGATCGAACATCTTGCCTTCTCACATAAGGGCGAAAACTGCCAGGACTTCAGTGTGCAAGCTGCGAAAGTAAAGATCTCTTGATGGTCCTAAAATCAGTAAAATTAAGAGTAAGTTTCGGCCGCCACCGGGGCAAAGTTCAGAATGAATTCTTACTTTTACTTTTCTCCGCCGCTTATACTCTTTTGTGTATCGCGGGAAGAAAGAGACGTCTCTCTGTCGTCAGCCGGAGAGCTTGGGTCAGGGGGATGCCGTGGGTGGTTAATGTTTCCCTGACTCCGTCTATCCAGGTCTTTCTCGGTCGCCCTCCAGCCTTGTTGCCTTTGAATTTTTTTATGTAGGCACGTTGTGCTGGATGGTGTGTTGGTAATCGCATGAGATGTTCGAACCATTTGATTCTGTGGTGTTGAATGTGATGCATGACATCATTTGTGCTCACCATTTCTCTGATTACTGAGTTTCTAACTTTGTCTCTCCTGGTCTTGTTTACTGCTTTTCTAAGACATCGCATTTCACATGTTATAATTCTTTGCGCCAATATCTTGTTCGTGGTCCATGTTTGGCATTGATAGGTGAGTGTTGGGATGAATATGGTGTTGATCATTTTGAGTTTTGTTGTCATGGGGATGTTAGGATGTTTTATTGGTGGAGTAAGCTGGTAACTAACATCATTGGCATTTTGTACTCGTGTGTCAATGTCTCTGTTCAGTCGCCCATCCTCTGAATATACTTCCGAGGTACTTGAATTCTTGGACCTGTCTGATAGATACTGTTGTTGTTGATGTGTATCCTGAGTGATTCTGGCTTTCTGCTTACTTTCATTGTTTCTGTTTTGTTGATGTTGATCTTCATGTCGTAGTTGTTACATTCTTCGTTTAATCCGGTGGTGTGGTGCTGGAGACTTTGTTCACCTTACAACTACAAAATGCTCTTGCTAGTATTTTAAAAAAATAATAGAGAGAAACGTCGAAATCGGAATGTGGCTGCCTGAAGGCAAAAGGCCTGCGAAGTAGGAAAAACTGACTAACACACGCAAAAATAAGTTGCACTACAGACTGACATTGAAGAACCTACAGTTGACTATCACAGTACATGTAATCTAGCAGGAGAATGCAAAGAAAAAGAACATGAAACTGAAACTTTCTATAAAGAACAATGGGTACATGTATGAGGTCAACGAGCTGGAGGGGCTAAATGTTTTAAATTATGAGGTAAGTGTGCTGGACGAGCGAAATGTGTTTGATGGGCTGGATGAGTTGTAATTGACGTGCTTGATGATCTCGCTCTGGGTGAGCCGGATGAGCTTGATGAAGTTCGTGTGAACTGTTGCACAGTTACCCACGGACAGAGGTTCAGTCGATTTCGTAAGGATTGCTGAAAATTGGAAAAAAGACCCATCAGAGTTGTCCTCAAGCCCAAGCCAATAACTAGACTCCCATAAAAGGTTCAACGTACACATACACCATGCATGCACATTCCTATACATAATACATTGCACCAGACAACGATAGATCCAAGCCTTACCTGCGGCACGCCGTACAGAGGGATGTCCACAGATTTGAGATCCGAGTCATAGATTTTGGTCTTCCTCGTCACCTTGTTAAAATCGCTGTACCGGAGCGACTTGGCTGAGGGAGATCTTGACCTGTTGATACCCATCAGGATGTCTTTGGCCTCGCAGGACGGACAGGAAGATTTCTTCCTATACACAGGGGAATTCGGTTCTTCGGCTTCTACATCTGAATTTTCCACAATAAAGATGGTGTCCACATTTTGGCAGCTTCCCGTCTGAACCCTACGGTTGTCCTTCTTTTTAGATTTTTTCTTGTCGTTTTTGTCGCTTTCTTTTATCTTAACATTATTTTTCCCTTTCTTCTTCTTTGTGCAGCTTGAGGAGAGTTCTGTCCGTGTGTTGTTGTTAGTTGCTGTGTTGGAAAACGACGACTCCGCGACCGTCTTTTCCTCGCCAAAATATTTCAGTGACGACTTACATTTTCGCTGTTTGGAAGAACTTCCACCCATCTTTGTAATAATAGTCCCATGAACTTAATTCGATTTGCGCACTTTATCCTAGAATGAAATCAACAAAACAAAGCTCGTCTGACTTTCCTCAAGATGTTCTATCTCGCCAAGTTTCCATTTTCTGGAAAGAGGTGACGTGTGAACGGAGCTGAAAGATGTCTGCACCAACAAGCAAGGTCGGTCTTACTTCTGCAATGTCCCCGCCTACTTGGCAGAACAGTCTAATCTTCTGACTAAGTACTAAGTGAGCAGTAGACTCCAGTTTCCCTGTTCTCTAGCTGTACGCATTGTGCTATGTCGTTCCATGACACGGACTACGCCTGCCTGATGTCGTCTGCATTGAGGAGACCACCGAGTTCAAAACCAGTGTCGTGTGCTGTGACACTCCGCAGAATTGGAAGAAAGGTCAGAGAGCTTATAAAGCTGTTCAAGGTAACCGCCAAGTCCCTTGTCACCGGAAATGGCGAAATGTACGTGGAAGGTAATTAATCCCACAAATCAGATTGAACAGAAAGTGTGGGCCTTGGTACATATAAGAACAACCTCCACAAGATGGGAACAGGAACTCCTCTCCAATACGTGTAGAGTGAACTCTAAAAGACTAAAGACCCCTATGAATGAATCAACATCAGTAAAAGGCTACCCCCCCTCCCCCTGCACAGTGTTCCTACTGATTATATGAATGCAACAGAAATAAAAACATAAACAGCGCTTACATAGACACTGAAAAAGCTGTGAAATCGTATTATCCTCCAGAAAAAACAGGGGTCAAATGTGTAGAATCTGTTATCAGCATCTTTGGAATTTTTTAAATTTATTATTTTGTTTTGTTTTGGTAAGTGTTTTAAGGCGCTCGCAACTGTATACGGTCATATGAGCGCGCGGGACACATTAAATTATATTTTCAGTAAGTAGGACATTTAGAATTTTGCCCGGGTGGCGGCCAAAGCCTTGTCTTATCATTTTTAGACCACCAAGGGATCTTTATCGTGCGCAACTTGCACACGAGTCCTCCGAGATTTTTCGCCCTTGTAGTAACGATAAGACTCGGGGTAGGCCTTTCCTACCATAAGACCAGGGGTGTGGCTGAAAGACAGCAGTAAAAAGGAGCCAAGGAGTAGCAGTAGAAAGGCTGCAGAAAAAGTCAGAAAGCCAGAGGAGGGGGCAAAGAAGGAGAGGGGGTGGGGGCAGAAAGTGGAGACGAAAGCAGACGACAGACATTGCTAGAGAGCTGGAAAAGAGGTGAAAGGAGACAACTTTTCCGTCGCTACCCGGATTCGAACCTGGGACCTTCGAGAGCCCCCGATCTTTGGATAAATAAACACTAGTGGGAGAGTGAGTAGCCGAAGGGCACCGTGACAGATGGTACCGATAGATAGGTGCTAACCCCCCCCCCCCCTTTTTGTCTATTGGTCTAGCTTTTTCCAACCATTGTTGTGTCAATAGTCAATGTGCGTTTCTTTACTCATCTTTTACGAGAGAATTCAGAAAACATGCATAGATCTGCAGCTTTGAAGTTAACAGTTTGACTTCGTTTTAGATCTCCATCAAGTCGCAGAAGGCCTTCACCCAATTAAAAAAAAAAGAAGAAAGAACACAAAAGAAAGGCGGGGAGTTGGGTTGAGCCGTATATTAATGTATATGTGAGGCAGCGTGGTGGAATCAGGCTCTCGTCAATTTTTGGACATGTAGAGTTATTGGTATCATCTTAAGTTTGTTCACTTGTTTTTATTTAGATGAAAAAAATATCCATTTATCTTGAATACAAGTCGAGATATTTGCTAAAGAAGGATGTGGGGGTCACCTTTTTCAGAG